TTAATACAATTTCATCATTTTTTATACTATTTTCACTTATCCAAACAAGTGAAAAAAAATTATTTTTTTTTATTTTATTTCAATTTATCTAAACATTATCTATTTTTCACTCTTTTTTTTATCCTCTGTTTCTTTCTCTATAAATGTTTCTTTTTCTATAAAAAAGTTTTAAATAATCAATTAGAACAAAACCTACCCAATAGGTTGTAGATTGAAAATGAGTAAACTATTGCTTTAGTTTATATACTACCAGAAATGCGTCATAATGTCGGTTTATTAGCGACAGTTAGCAATAATGACTACTAAAACATTTTAAAAATAATATTTAACGTCAATTTTAGTAATCATCATAAAAAATATAAAATTTAACTGTAGTTTATGTAACTGCCACAAAACATGTGAAATTTAAAATATGTGAAATTTAGCGACAGTTTTGTATAATTATTGCAAAAAAAATATAAGATTTAACGGCAATTTTGCATAATCGTCATAAAAAATATAGGATTTAGCGATGCATAACATTTGAAGAAAAATATAAAATTTAGTGTTAGTTTAAGATAACAGACTATAAGAAACATTACTCTCCTCCATTCTCTATCACCCACTCAAAGCTATCATTCATCTCCACCTTGGCCTTATTGAGTTCCACCATCCTCTTTGTCATTGCCACCACTACTACCACCGTCAAAGTATCTTTTCCAACTGTGACAATTTCGATAATCTTTTATTATCCTTTGCACTTCATTTAAAAATAGTTCTTCTCCAACAACTATACACTATAAATTATATAATATATATGTTGTGATGTTAACAAAATAAATGGAATATGAACCCAAATAGTAAAAGAAGAAACTAAGTATAAGATAAGAATAGAAAAAAGTGTAAAAGCAAAAAATAGAGTACTGTAAAGTCAAAAACAGAACATAGCAGTGCGCAATAGGAAATTTGAATTTCAAATTTTAGTAGTAGTTTTGAACCGCTACTAAATAATCACCGTAAATTTAAAAATTTAGCAGTGTTTTAAAACCGCTACAAATTTAGCATTACGTCGTCAATTTTAACATCGATTTTCTAACCGTCAAAAAAATATTTAGAAGCAGTAAAAACCGCTGTTAATCATAAAATTTATCTGCTACAAAAAAATATTTTTTTTATAGTGATAAAATATGCAACTTGACTAAAGTTAATTATTTAAAAAAATTTAAATTTGTAATTATAAATTTAATCATCATCAATCACTCTAATCCTTACTGATAAAAGACTTTAAAAAATATATATAATGATTTGTCATATTAAGTGATATTTGAAAGTCTACTTTGTATTACGTGATTTAAAATTTTTTAAAAATAATTTATTTTTATTTTTAACTTTTAAAGTTTTTATCTAATAAGGTCTTTTTTTTTTATTCTACTTATACTTTATTTGAGAGTTTGGAGGGAAAATGTTTAGAGAAAAAGGGAAGTGCGGGAGAAGGAGGTTAAATCTTTTTCTTATTTGAATGCTTAATATTGAGAGAAAAATGTGATGACAACTTAATTATATAAATGATATTATATTTTAGATATTTTTACTTTTACAAAAAATAAAATAATGTTTTCCTTTCTCTAGAAATTAATATTTTTAAAATTAACATTTTTAAAATAAGTTAGAATCATATTTATGAAAAAGTATTGGAGAGTGAGAGAGAGAAAACTCCCAAAATGGATGAATTAAAAAAATAAAGGTTAAGAGGGTTTAGAAAAATCCCCAAAATCTTTCTCTTCTAATTAAACAACTCCTAAACAATAATTAGTCCTTCTCAACTCCTTCCTTCCCTCCCCTCTCCTCCTAAACACAACTCCCAAACACAACCTTAGTCTTCTTTAATAACATCTTATTCCCTTCTTTAAATTATTGTATAAATAACATTCACTTCTTAATAACTTTTTTAATTCTCTTGCAAGGTAATCTAACATATAATATTACACTTCCTTGCACTAAAATGCTAACTTTTCACTCTTATGTTTTTTCCATCTTTTTCATTATTACCTCCCTTTCTCCCATTTTTACTGTATTTTTCATTCCATAACTTTTCATTTTCATGAGTTTTAGTTTTCTTAAACCAAATTATCTTTTATAAATTATGAATACAAAAGTAGTGAGAATTAATATTTTTTAATCAGTCTAAATATATTATTTTAGAGATCTCAAATTTCATTGCTAGTGCAATTGAAGTAAAGGAAGAAGACAAAGGAAAAGAAAAAAGAAATGCATTGGAGTGAAAATTTATAATTCTAACAGGGAGGTACAACTTGAAAGAGGTTTGACATAATTGTTAAGAAGTGAACATCATTGTTCTAGTAGTTAAAAGAAAAAATATGTCATAAAAAAGATGATAATAAAAAAGAAATAATCTTATTCTAGTACTTAAAAAGATGATGACAAAGAAGAAAGAATTTTAATATTTAAAAATCTCAAAATTTAATGATAAAAATAAATTATTTTAATTTTTTTTAAATTACATCATTTTATATTCAAGATAAACTTCTAAATATCACTTAACATATAAATTGTTACTCAATTTTATTATTTTTTTAACAATAAGAGCTAAGTTAGTTGATGATTATTAATCTTAAAAATAAACATTTAACGTCTTAATTTTAAGATATTAATTTCAACAGCATTATATATTTCAAAGATTAAATTAAAAGTTTACTAATATAAAACTACATAAAATCTAAAGATTAAGTTGTTTTACTTTAATGAAAATACATTTTTTTTATTTTTACCATAAAAAAGTTGGATATAAATAATACGTGTTTCATAATATAATCAAACTAGTTTATATATTATATTTAGCAACTTTTTGTGTATAGCATTCAATTGCAAAATTGATTTTGGCGGAGTTTACCCTAAATTTTGTCTGTAATATAACCTCAAATTTTCTTTTAACTTATAATTTTCTGTCATTTCATGTATTGTTTACGGTGATGTTAAATATTGACTAAATTGAAACAACCTTTGGTCCAAAACATTCATTTTGTATTGCCTAACCTTCTTATTTTATATATAAAAAATAATAATAAACTGACATTCAATTAAAACACCACCCAATATGCCACAAAATAATATTGTCAAACCCAAACTGCTACTGATAAAATGCTTTACTAAAATAATAATTCCAAGAGAAAGTGAAATATTATTTGTGCTTTTAAATTACATAAAAATAAGGACTTTTAAATTATGTTATTATAATTATTTAATTTTATCGAAATTTAACATACATAATCAATATAAACATTGACGAAAAAAATTATATTCCACAAAAAGTTAAAAATTTAATAAAAATTTACATAATTTATATTGATATAATGTTTTAATGTATATTTAATAATTTATTATTTTATTAAATATAACCTGCACAACCCACGGGATTACATTATAGTTTTAGTTAATTTGATTAATTTAAAGGCTCATGTGATGTGACCAAACTAATTTTAGTATAGATAGAACTTCCTAACTCTCTCTCTCTCTCTCTCTCTATAATCATCAATTTCACATACATTTCATGGGACATAAAAGTATAAAAGTCAAGAACTCGTGAAAGATAGACCCAAATACAGTGGTAGATTGAACTCGGTGAAATTCGCAATGCATTTTGTTAACAGACCAGCTTGTAAGCTTTCCCGTTTACATTATGCCTCATTGGTCAATACCAATAATTGATTGTAAGCGAAATAAATAAATAAAATGTTAATCTTAAATTTTAAGATTGAAGATAAATAATTAAAATAGTAACTTTTTATAAAAAATAATTTATTTATTATATTGAGAATGTAGAAATATAATAAATATTATACTTTTTAATAAACACATTTTTAAATGCTTAAATACAATTTTAAAGATTAAAATCAATAAAATAAAATATTTATTACCACACGATAGATTCTGTAAATTTAGTATCCTTTTATTTTAATTAATATTTTTCTAGTTAACAATCAATTCTAATATTTTTAATTCCAATATTCTTAAATGTGAAACTAACGAGCATTTGTGATATGTATGGTTTGGCGTCCATAAATGTTAGACGTAGTTCTTTAATCTATCAAGTTTTTGACTGATTTTGTATTATAATGCCTTGAACATGCTTGTCTTCACACAACTTCAAGTTTAGAATTGGCTAAAACAAAATATTCCCAAACAAATTTCACTTTTGAAAAAAAATATGGTTTAAGATTTTATATTAATTTGAGTATTTTATTTTAAGTTATATTAATTAAAAATATTTTAAATTTATACATTTTTTTGTTAATTGTTTCATATTTTTATTTTAAAGTGTTACGAGGAGTTGAAGTATTTATCATAAAAAATGAGTACATCGAAAAACATTAAGATGTTAAGAGAAATATAAAACCATGAAATTACACAGTATTACCAGTTTATAATTTTTTTAATAAAAAATATTAAAATAAAATATGGTTTAATTTTTTCACGACTCAAGTAAAAAATATATTTTTAAATTGATTCTAATCTAGATAGATTTATGATTTTAATTTCAATACTATATATTAAGTGTTTCCATATAATTGATAGTTTAACATTAATAATGCTTATTTAATAAATAAATTATAAAAAATACAATACCAGTTATTATTATTATTATTATTGTTACTGGTAATATGTAATACAAGAGGAGTAAAAAAATTGAATAATTTTAATAATTTTTTAATCTTAATTTAAAAAAAATAAGTTTTTAAAAGGTTTTATGAAAAAATATTTATTATATTTTGTATATCTCTAATGTTATAAATATTTTTGAATAAAATTTTACTAATGTTAAATGTTTAAATTTATGTTAAAGATCAAAATCAAACAAAGCATAGATTGAAAAATTTCAGCAACACTTTCTTGTAAGTATTTTTATTTGTTAAATAAAAAATAAATATATTTGATATGTTTAAGACATAAAGGATATTCATGTTTTTATATAATATATATTGAAATAAATCTTAAAAAATAGCAAGAGGAAAATATTTTGGTCCGGAAACGGTCTAATAATTGAGTGGCAGTAGCGTATGGATTTGCCTGTACCCAAAAAAACACTTTTCAACGGCCGACCACCAGGCTCTCCTTTTCCCTCTCAGATCTCGACCTTCTTCTCCTATTTCCATTTTTTTTCTCTCTTTTTTCAACCACTCCACAATCTATCACACTTCACTCACCACTTTTTCTTTCGGATAAAATCATCCTAATTACTAATTACTCACTGCAACCATAGTATTCGTGGATCGGGGTTTTCTACTCTTGCGTTGATCTCCATGGCTGCCCCTCCTGCAAGAGCTCGAGCCGATTACGATTACCTTATAAAGCTTCTCCTCATCGGCGATAGCGGTACCGTTTACTTTTTCCTCAATTATTTATTTATATTTTTTAGTCATGCCGTGCCTCGATTTGATCCGGTTTGTGATGCTTGAGCTTTCCCGCAAGTCCTGAATGAATTGTTGTATTTAATGTTAAATATTTGTTTAGGCTTAAAATTGACCTGATATGTGTTATCGTGTATTTTCCGCATCAGTTTAGTTCACTCGATTTTGTGATTTTCAGCGGTAAATGGATGATTAGTAGTTTAATTGAGGGAATAATGCCGTGACTGTCATGCTAGTCGTTCATGTCAGTTTACTGTGATGAATGGTCCATGCAAGTAGTGCTTGGTTGTCAATGAAATTGCGATTAGTAAAGAAAAATTAGGGTTATTACTGCATATTGGGCATCTGTTATGATGTTCACCAAATTAGTGGTGTAGCTATCAAACGGTGGCAAAATGGGGAAAATCTTCTAGTCTAGTGCTGAAAAATTGGGTACTTCTCTGGTTTAGTTTATGATATTGACAACTATGTAACTACCTCTTAAATTTCAAGATCCAACTCCCCCGTGTCTGGAGTTATGGTGCAGGAGTTATTCTCTCCCCTCTCTATTTTCATTTTCCATTTTTTTGGCTTTATTAATTTGGGGAATATATGTTGTGGGGTTGCCTTTACATCTCACTCTTTTGTTCACATTGGCAGGTGTAGGTAAAAGTTGTCTTCTGTTGCGTTTCTCAGATGGATCTTTCACTACTAGTTTTATCACAACCATTGGGTAGGTTCCTTTTTGTGAAAGCACCTATTCTATGTTTTCCTTATCTTTCTTTTGTCTATCTAGTGAGGACTCGCATCTGATCTTACTAGAATGTTTTATTATTCTTCAGCATTGATTTCAAAATAAGGACCATAGAGCTTGATGGCAAGCGAATCAAATTGCAAATATGGGATACAGCTGGTCAAGAACGGTTTCGAACTATTACAACTGGTTAGTATTTGAGATTGTAAGTGTTTTGTTGTTTCCCCCTCCCAATAAAACTAGTGTTTGGTGAGGGCTCAATTGTGGTTCTTTGTATCCAACTTATCAATACTTCTATGTACTTCTCCTGATGTTAATATGTAACAGTGGTTATTTACGCATTTATCTGTTTTTGTTCTTTCAATTTGATAGGAGTTTATCTAAATATTAGATTTTATTTCAAGTTATTTTGTCCTCAGTGGCGTTCATTGTTGATTACATGGGTGCTAATGTGCTATATTTAGCAGCATGTGTGCTATGGAGGAACTCTTTTTCTTTTTATTAATGACTGTTATTTGGCTATTATTGATTTAGGCATTTAGATTTCCCTTTCTTCTCTAAACTGCTAAGCCATTTTATTTAAACCAGTCTGCTTTGACTTAGTGTGTTGAACTTTAACTAGCCATTTGTAATGTCTAATGCGCTTGTTATAACTTGGGTGGTCTTTTATCCTGCTAAGGTTGCTGGCTGTTTGCGATAATAATTGCATTCCATTCTTCAGTACGGCCATGTTTAAAGAATTCAGGGCATTTTAGGCTTGTCAAGTAATTTGATCTTCAGTGCTGTCCCTGCTGTTTATAACCTTACAGGTTTTACAAACATCAAGTCTTTTAATATTATTAGGGCTTAGTTTGGCACTATTTATGAATGTAATAATGTACTGTAGGATGTTGTTTTGTTTGTCAATATTATTAGTTATTACAATTTACATATCATTTTATCGATTGACAATTACTACTGTTTCAAACATGCAATTTAAACTTCTTCACACTTGTTTAATCCCCCTTCTGCAGCTTATTACCGTGGAGCCATGGGTATTTTGCTTGTGTATGATGTCACTGATGAGTCCTCTTTTAACAGTAAGTTCTCCTTCCTCCTTTACTTTTTATTTTCCACTGTGCACCTTTTATTGTTTCCCCCACTTAATCTTCTCCAACACGTGTTTTTCTCCAATCAGGATGTGTTAGTTGAACAAGTATTTTTCAGTTAACTTTAATTTTTTTTCTTCATAATTTGTGGAGATTCACTGCTTTTTGGAATGCGTTTTAAGATGTAATAACTAGACTTATTATTTCATCTCATATTCAGACATCAGGAATTGGATTCGCAACATTGAGCAGCATGCTTCTGACAATGTCAACAAGATATTAGTGGGGAACAAAGCTGACATGGATGAAAGCAAAAGGGTTTGTCCTACTTTCTCACACTTGTTGTTTTGGCTATGATTGGATTATGTGTCTCGCATGGTTACTATGCTCTACTTGATGCTGGACAATGTATCCGTAGGCTGTTCCAACTTCAAAGGGTCAAGCTCTAGCAGATGAATATGGCATCAAGTTTTTTGAGACTGTAAGTGGCACTTATTGCTCTTGTTGAAAAAGGATGCTGATATTGATGATCTGTTTCTAATACTGAGATTATGCTTTTACAGAGTGCAAAAACTAATTTAAATGTGGATGAAGTTTTCTTTTCAATAGCTCGGGACATCAAACAAAGACTTGCAGATAGTGACTCAAAGAATGAGGTTTTTGTTCCGAACTTTCTCCACAGTTATGAGTTATCTTGTGACAAGTGATATTAAATGGTTTTCTGATTACCTACTATTCGATTAATGCAAATTTCATCCTTGGTATAGTTGGTTTTCTTCTTGGACCATTATAACAGTGTGCGTTTGGTTGAATTACAGATCATTTACAATTTAATGGTCATGTCATTTTTTCACCAAGTTTTTATTTGGTTTTATGCAGCCCACGACACTAAAGATTAACCAACCAGACCAGGGAGCAGGGTCTGCTCAACCAGCCCAAAAATCTGCTTGCTGTGGTTCTTAAAAGGGAAGCTCTAGCAGATACATTTGACCGAAAAAAGTTAATTTGTCATCGACTTTCATCAGTGCTTGTATTGTGCTTATTATTTCACAGTTGCTATACTCATTGGGTGTGAATGGTAGATCCTACCTATGTCGGGAAATTAATTATATATCCATTTGTTGTTGCTACTGTTCATTCTTTTTCCCGGAGCTTGACCAGGCACTGCTGCCTACCTTTGCCGAAACCAAGATCCGCACCATTCGCTTACTTGGCGCTCCAAATTTTTCTATGCTTTATATTTCACAACCTTGGCGTTTCTATGGAAAAAAAGCCTTCAACACCCAGCGATGCCCATCTTGATCTACTTTCTTACATTTGATGTTTCTTGGCCGTAGCTAGAGAATGACTTACGGAAATTTTTAGATAAATCTTTACAAGGGAAGAAAATTAATATAAATATTTTTTTATACGTAATAAATATTACTTCTCAAATTTAAGAGAATTTAAATGATTTTTAAAAAAAATATAGATGCATAAGTTGACTTTAATTAATGAGAATTTTTGTTTATTTATTTTATTACTTAATTTTTAACTCATAAGTATTTAGTAAAAAAATTGTCTAAGTTGAGTACATATAAATTGCTAACTTGTCTGGCAAAAATTGTGCGGTGAATTGTTACAGCACTGCGCATGATCACAATGTTGGAATTTGATCTCAAAACATTGCATAAAATAAGCATACATAAATTAATGATATGATTTAGTTTAAGATGCTTAGTATACAACTTTAACAATATATGCCTTTTGGGATTCGATTCCCTTAAAGGATAATAAGGTGTATGGTAAATCAATTGTGAAGCAATAATCGTTGATTAAAAGATAAATGGTTGAAGATTTAGTTATTTTGTAATTTATTTTATTTTATGTGGGTGTATTTTATTGCAATATCAATTGTGAATTTTAAACGATTATTGCATAGAACTGAATTTTCCAAGCTTTCTTGAGGTATTGTCTCTTTATTATGGTGAGCGGTAGAAATGGGTTGATACTTGCAGAAGATAGTGAGTGCAATGCTCAAGTAATTAGAAATTATAATTCTGAGAGAGTATAGGTAGGATATGTGTGCAACCTCACTTGGATGGGACTATGGTATTTATTTAATTGGGGTATAGGTAAGTCACAACTACGTGACACTCAGATTTTTGTGATCTCATCCTGTGAAATCCATAGAGCTATACCAGGAAAGCTCCTTCGGGGAAAGCAAAAGTATTATCGAATAGAGGCATAATTGAGTGTTTATAATTTAGGCGTAGTTTGGACAAGTGTTTTACACGTATTTGTGAACGATGAAAATAAGGAAGTAAACTAAATTAAATTTCTTCATAAGTTTAAATTATTTTATATTATCCTACTTTTTTAGAAAATTTCTCATTTAACTTTTTCAGAACTTAAAATATATAAATTAAATTTAACTTGTGAAAAAAAAAATTATTCTGCTTTTTTAAAAATCTTATAATTACTGATCTAAAAATTGACCTAAAATAGACCTTAGTTTGAACTTGTTTTTAAGTAAAAAGTCATTTAATTTGAACCTAAAAATAGTACAATGTCAAATCTAATTTAATTTAATTAAGAGTAGTTTGGATTATATTTGATGATTTGTTTTATTACTGATATATTTAGTTTTATTTTTATAATTCTTTTTAAAACACTATCAACAAATCAATACCATTTGACAATCAGAATCCCATACTATTAATTTCGTAATCTCAATATAAAGTCAAGCATTTCAACAGAAAATAAAACAAAGAATACACTGATCATACTATACAATCTAGCATTTAACATGGAAATGTCCATTTTACCCTTTTAACATATTTATATTGAATTTTTTTAAAATAAAAGAAAAAATATACAAAAATGAAGAAAAAGAGACACAAGAATAAATTTCAAAATAATTCAAAAACCAATCTATATTATATATAAAACTATCCAAGTGTGGGCCCAGGCCCTTGCACGGATCGACAATGCCCTAAAGATCACTCCACATTCTAAACGAAGCAAATCTTCAAAACCAATTAAAAAAAATGCTGAAATTTTTTTAAAAAAGAAGCAAATCTTTAGTTAGAAATTGTCTCATTGTTGACAAAGAAAAAAAGTTAGAAAATGTACCAATACAAGATTTTAGCAATGATTTCGGAGTTTACAACACGAGAATGAAGCTCCTAAATCTTCAATCGATTCATCAAGCATATACTTCGTGTCAAAGCAATTTGAGCACTTAGAACTTTCATTGTTTCAAGAGAAAATACATCAGTATTATCCCAATATATGGTTAGAGGTTTGAAAATACTCTCAACATGAAATTTTGCAATCATCGCATTGCTTGATGGATCTTCATAAGAATCAAATGATTTTTGGTAATGATGCGTGAAATAATTTTATCGGATTATTTCAGTATTATTTCAAATTTTGATATTAAAATATCAATTTATTGTAATTTGTTATTTTTGATAGATAAATGTAACTGTGGGAAATATTATGAACATAATTAGTATTTATAAATTTTGAGCTTTTGGGTTATTATTTTAAACTCTAGAGTTTAGATAATTCTTAATAAAAAAAAAGTCATGATTTCGCAAAGCGTAATGAATTACTGAATTTATTTAAATATTGGAGAGTTAAAGGAGATATTTTTATTATAGAAGTAAATTAGTTTATTTGAATTTTAAAAATTTATATAATAATGTATGAATAAACTCCGAAAATTTTAAAATTATGTCTCTAAAGCTAGTAAGTACCTATGATACTTAAAATTTTAAGGGCACAATTTAATACATGAAACAAATAATTAAGAGTCATATATAATATATTAAACTAACGAATAAGTGCATTACTAACATAATTGGTTTGATGAAGGTGAGTTCACAATAATGCAAAATGCATCAAAGGTCTAGAAACGTCATGAACATGCTAAAAAGATTTCAAGGCCAAATTCAGTGTCAAAGTTTTTTAGCACATTTAAACTGACGATTCACAAGACTTTGACTTAGCTAGTTAGTTTTGGAGAGATTAGATGCATACAAGCAAATTTGAATCCATGAATTTCATGTCAAAACAACAACACCATTTTATCAAGGGCTCAACTTCAAACAATTTTAACACCTTTAAACTCATAATAAATAAATAAATATTTAAAGACATTTAAAAGTAATAAAAATAACACCCAAAAAAAAAGAAAAAAAAGAGGAGGGCGAGCTCAAAATGGAACATGAGTTTTTTCTAGTTATACACCTTAATGACTTAAAACTACAGATCATGATAAGGTATACAAGATATTCATACCTTAACTGAGTTATAATACACTAAACATTGTTGATTATAATATTTGGGCTTAACAAAATCAACTGTTTTGACATTCAATTAATTTGTGTTTTACAAAAATACAAGATTGAATTATGATATTCCACATGAATGATTAGCATTATTTGGATACAAGATCTGCTTTTGACAACAGGGAGAACAAACAAATAGCACTGTCATGTGCTAAGTGTGCAATGATATGTACAACTGAACTGTATTATGGCAAATTAGGTGCTATAGATACACATATGTGGCGGACAATATCCGACGATAGTGATATCGTTTATTTTTTGTGTTTAAAGAAAATTTATGATTTTGAATCCATGTTCATCTCTTTCCTGTTAACAAGAAAATGTTGCGATGACGATACTTCATCCTCCACTGAACATGTATCTGGTTGATGAAGTTAAAGCATATACGCTTCACAAAAGGAAATGCTACAGAGCAATTTTAGCGTAAGCACCCAACATTCTAATTAGTGTTATTAGAGAATAAGTTCAGAAATCAAAAACATCTTTTTTATAATTTTTTTTGACTAGTGTAGGACTTTTTTAATTTGTTTTAATTGTGGATTTTAATAAAAAAAGTGCCTGCTAAAAGCTAGCTCTCTTTTGATGCATTGGACCTTAAATGCAAATTGCAATACAAGACATTTGGTTCGACTTGGACGCTTTTATGTCCTGATATTTAAAAATTGGATAATATAATTATTATTATGTATCTACCTTAAAAAAAGAAATATGTCAATAAATTATAATATATATCTTTTTAAAAGAATGCATTAATAGTATAATTTCTTAGCATATTTCTATTAAAATATAAGTTAGAATATATATATATATATATGTGTGTGTGTCTATGTCAATACTCATAGTTGCTAGCTTACATCTTCTCACTTCTCTTTTTTTTAAAAATGTTAATAATTTGGAACTTTAATTTTTTATAACACTAAAAATATATAATTTGTCAAAATGTTTCTTCTAAAAATTAAATAATTATATGTTAGCAATCCCATGTACATGTATGTGTGTGTTAACGTGTAATCATATTAGATATTAATCCATGTATATCTTTGTATCAAAATTCAGTTGTATTATCTCTAAATTTCAAATTTTAAAGATTTTTTATTGAATAATAAATAATTCCTTATCATAATTTAAACATAATATTTTTATTTAAATTTTATCATAATTATACTTTTTAAATAAATTTTACAATAAATTAATGATTAACAAAATATAATGACGATGATAACAAATTAATATAAATATCAATTATATTAAATAAATTTTAATAAAACATAAAAATGTATAAAAATAACTATATTTTTTTAATATATATTATTATGTCTGGATACTACTTTAATTTTTAAAGAGATTTTCATATTCACATATCCTATTACATGTATCGTGTCCAATATTCATATCTTTGCCTGCTTTTTGTTTTTGTCGTTTCATTATCAACCTTTGCCTGTTTGATATAGCTTTGAACGTATTAAAATTGAAAAATGCTATTTGATACTTGGAGATGAATATTTTAAAGTTTTTTTTTTAAAATTTTGAAGTATATTTCTGAGACATATGTATATAAAAAACTCTAAATGATTATACATAATATTCAAAATTTTATCATTTTTTAGTGATTTAAATAAAAATTAAAATAACATAAACTATATATATATATAGGGATCAAAGCGTTGTGGAGAAAAGTGGGGTTGGATAAACAATGAGATGGAGATGACATTTTCAAGACAAGAAGACCTTTGCTATTTCAGATATGATGGGGGGATATAATTCGAGACTTTCTGCCATTATGCTATTCTCTCTTACCATTTGAAGCGAATGACAATGAAAGTCACGACCCTTGAACTTTAGGTAGGGTATGGCTGATGCAGAAACCAGCATTTTATTTCAAAGAGCCAAAAACAATAAAGGAAGCTACCCCAGCTACGATAGGACAATTTAAAAAAAAACAACATTTCTATTTATTTAATTGTTTTGGAGTGTTTTCTATAAAATTTAAGAATAAATATAGTTGCTTATTATTATTTTAAGGACATGTTAGCTTAGATGAACATTTTCTCCTAGGTTTGCCCCAACGATAAACA